GAGAGAGAGAGAGAGAGAGAAAAGATAGAAGGTACATAGGTAGGTAGGAAGGAAGGAAAGAGAGAAAGAAAAGAAGCAAGAATGGAAAGAAAGAAGAAAGAAGAGAAGGAAAGAAAAAAGAAAGAAGGTAGGTAGGTAGGTAGATGAAAGAAAGAAAAAGATGGATGGATGGAAGGAAGGAAGGATGGGAGGAAGGAAAGAAGGATCAAATCAAAGGACATTTCTTTCAACATTAAAGTACAACAAGTGAGAACAATCCAGCGAAGGTTGAGTTTGACAGCAGCCCTTCGACCTGTCAGATCCTTCAATCAATGAGATTAAACCGCTGTTCCCGCCGGAGACAGAGGACCTTGGTGGAAACCACTGTCGTTAGAACTGATATCTGTAACGTGGCAATGCAATGCCAGCCTGCAAAGGAGAGCAGGATAAAGTCGGTGTAAAGTTTTCCCCCCCTCTTTTAAAACTTCTACTCCAGTGTTTCTCAATTCTGGTGACTTTAAGATGTGTGGACTTCAACTCCCAGAATTCCCCAGCCAGCCGTGCTGTTCTAAACAGAATATTGGCATTGGGAAATCCAACAGAAAAAAAAAGTGGCAGTTTGAAGACGGAGATGCCACTCGTTCTGACACCAGCTCCTTGGATTTTGAATACTGGTATTTAGGGGCAAACGGATGTCCATTCAAAAGCCCCCAAATTTGCTACTACCGTTGATTCAAGAAGAGGTGAAGCCAACTAAAAACTCCAAGGAAATTCAGAGGACTGGGTGAGTTTTGCTTATAGCTCAGGACAACCTACCAAAAGAATTTGAAGCCAACTTATGTTTTGATTTTAAAAAATTGCCATCTGGATAAGATACAAAATACTCATATATTTTTTTTGTAAGTTAACACCTTCTAAACCTGTTCTGATCCCCCTTCTCCGTCCAGGAACGAAAGCCGAAACAAACGTAAATGAGAATGTTTTTTAATCAGTCCAGACTGTTGTTAGTGTAAAACCTACTGGGCCAGGCTGGACAGCCTCTTAGAACCCCATTTACTTCTATATTAAAAGTCACATAGACAAGAGTTGGAACTTGCAA